GAAGTACCAAAGTATATCGAAAGAAAGTGGAAACAATTCGAGAAAAATCTACCTGACCAAGTTGCAGTTCCACGCCCGGTGACGGCTTTCCAGGAAGCGATTGATGCCATTGATTTGCACGCGTTCGGAGACACAAGCGGGACAGGGACAGCAGCTGCCGTGTATGCTGTGGTTCATCAAGCAAGTGGCTCAAATCAAAGACTATTAGCAGCTAAAGCGCGCCTCGCGAAGAAGGGGCTAACTATCCCAAGGCTAGAACTGGTCTCAGCGCACATGGCGGCAAACCTTGTAGCAAACGTGAAGAATGCCCTTCAAGGACAGCCCGTGAAGTCGGTTTATGGATGGCTTGATAGCACAGTGGCCCTCCATTGGATCAGGGGAGGAGGAGGAAGTACCTATAAACAGTTTGTGGCAAACAGGGCACAGAAGATCAGAGAGAAAGATTTCATAGAATGGAGACATGTTGGAACCAGCCAGAATCCAGCGGACATCGGCAGCAGAGGCTGTGATGGAGACAAGTTACCCAGGCTGTGGTTGGAAGGACCGGAATGGTTGTCAGATCTCGAGCGCTGGCCACCTCATCTACTCACAGAACCAACGGAGGAAACGGAAGCAGAAGCGAAGTTAACTAAGGAACTCTTCCGGACTGCTGTAGAAACAAAAAACGAGCTAGATAACATCTTAGAGAAGCACAACTACTGGACAACAATCCGAGTAACAGCATGGATCAGGCGCTTCCTGGATAACTGCAGGTTGAGCAAAGAAGCACGAACCCGAGGTCCTTTGACAACGGCTGAGACTGATAAGCAAGCACAGTGGTGGTTCAGGAGAGCACAAGAAAGCTACAGTGGAACAGAATATTTCAAGCAAGACCAGTTAAGACTCAACTTGCAGAAGAATGGTTTGGGGCTGTACGAGTGTCGTGGTAGAATACAAGGAAGCTATCCAATTTACCTTCCTCCAGATGCCCCGTTGTCAGAGAAGTTAACCCAGGACGCACATATCATGACGTTACACGGGGGAGTTGGTCTCACTATGGCTTTTATCAGGGGCGAGTTTTGGATACCCCGGCTGAGAAGTTTAACAAAAAGGGCAATTAAAAGTTGTTTTGGATGCAAAAAGTTCCAAGCCGCAGCATTTCAAAAACCACCTCCTGGAAACCTTCCAAATGACCGTACCTCTGGCTCAGTTCCATTCCAAGTAGTGGGCGTCGATTACGCCGGTCCAATTTCTTATAAAATCGGCAAGAAAAGAGGAGACGGGAAAGCCTATATTTTGCTGTTTGCATGTAGTCTCACGAGGGCCATCCACTTGGAGCTGTTGACTAACCAAACAGCTGAGGAATTCGTCAAAAGCTTCAAGCGCTTCATAGCAAGAAGGGGCAGGCCACAAAGAGTGTACTCCGACAACGGGAGAAGTTTCGTTGCGGTTTCAAAGTGGTTAAAAAGGATCATGAAGGACGAGAAGCTCCATGACTACCTAGCCCACCACCATATTGCATGGCAATTCAACTTAAGCAGGGCCCCTTGGTGGGGCGGCCAATTCGAGAGGATGATAGGACTTGTAAAGCAGGCCTTCTACAAGTCTTTAGGGGGAGCCCACCTTACATGGGGTGAGCTGGAAGAGGTGATCCTGGACGTTGAAGTCACTCTCAACAACCGCCCCCTGACTTATGTAGAAGACGATATCCAACTACCCTTGCTGACACCCAACAAAATGATGTTCGGTCAACCCAACCTGTTACCCGAAGATGATGTTGATTCGATGGAGGACGGGGATCTGAGGAAACGTGCAAGACATATTCGGCGCTGTAAGGACGTGCTATGGTCCCGATGGACAGGGGAGTATATCAAGAGCCTGCGAGAGAGGCACAATCTCAACCACAAGAAGGGAGGACCGGCTATCAAGGAAGGTGATGTCGTGTTAATCCAAAATGACGAGCGTAACAGAGGAAAGTGGAACCTCGGGATCGTGGTGAAGCTAATGCAAGGTAGAGACGGAGTCGTCAGAGCAGCAAGACTGAGAGCAGGCAAATCCTATCTGGAGCGGGCGATCCAACAGTTGTGCCCCATGGAGTTGTCCTGTGACAGGACCCAAAAACCTCAAGATCCAGTTCTTAACCCTACAGCTCGGGTGTTTACACCCAGGAGAGCGGCTGTGGCTGCTACAGAGCGCATAAGGGCTATTGCTGATCAAGAAGAACACCAAAGGAACGTTTATTCTCGTTTGTTTTATATTTGACACCTCCGGTATCAAATAGGGGGAGAGTGTCGTGACTGCGAGTTGCGTTACGCAAGTTTCTGTTTTCCGGTGATGACAGCTAGAGGTCAAATTCGCCCGTTTTGAACTTTGAGTCCTTAGATATATGAGACGAGTAGTGGGAGTGTGAGAGAGTAGGAGAATTGTGACAGCTAGGCTGAGTGCTGGGCCATTAAAACTGTTAAAATCAAGAAATTGTGAGTTTCTTTGTCGACGAAAACCGATTCCCGACACAGACGCTTTTTCCAATTCCCTACAGTGTCTGCTCACAAGAGGGTTGATTGTCTGTCCATTAAGAAAGGCTCTTCTTCTGTTTCTAGATTATAAGCTTTCTGATACGGTATTTCTTCACTGATAAAGATTTAATCCCTAAAAAGCCTGATCAAGGCTTTTTTTATGACAGTTCTGAAATGTATATCGTACATCATTCCTAAAGTAACTTGTGAATCAAAAGATCATCTGAAACTACAGAAAAAGCTTTCTTCAGTCAGCCTCTATCAGCTTTATTTTTAGAGTGGGAGTTATAAAAGCTATCTCCATTAAAGTTCACTTTTGATCATAAACTATCAAACTCAGTTAAACTAGAGCATTTGCAGTATTTGTAGGCACCAATTAGCTAATTAAATCTTCTACAACTCTTAAAATTTCAGAAGAAACAAGCCTTGAACATGATGGCCTGAAGCAGATGTCCCAGTAACAGTTCTAACATACACATCCAGTCCTAGATGCATTTAAAAAAAAATTTCCTAAATTCTACTTTATACATGCGGATCACTTTTTGTCTCCTTACAATGATAAAAAAAAGAAAATCATAGGGTTTTTCAGCTGTAAACTTGTAAAATAGTGAGTTAAAGTTGGAAGTCTAATATATGAAATATTTCTAGGATAGTTATTCTAAATTTTTGCTGTTAACTTTAAAACTATCTTTCCAGGAAAGCTTTCATTCCTTGACAAAAACAAAATAAGTTAAATAATGTTATGATTTTTTCATTATTAGCTTTTTATGTGTGGTACCTCCTAAACTTGTTATTTTAATTGACTTTTTTCTTTCAAACTGTTTAAGATCAAGATCAGAAGTCCCTTTGATCAGTGATTCCTTAACTATGCACTTTTTTACTTGCACTGAAAACTTCTTGGTATATGTTTTTTAAATCTCTTAATGTTATTGTTAATGATGTTTCATTGTACTCATTTTATAGTATTGATGTAGAAAATTCCAATGTAGATACATGTACATGTTCAGAGACTTTCTCAGTATCATATGTGCAATTACTGTGTGGTAATTATTTGAAACCTTGATCTTACTCTTGAACAAGAGTTGAAAATTATACCTAAGTTTCAATTAAAAAAGTAGAAAAAGGAAATGTAACTTAACAGTTTCTCATTATGTTACTGTATATAACTTTTTTGAAACAGGATGTGATACTGGTGTGAAAAACAATAAAAGATTTTTAAATGATTTTCAGGTTCTTTAGAAAGTTTTGGATTTTGGGGAAGATTAGGACAAGGGAATGTAGCTTAGAGAAAAATCAATTGGTTTAAAGATTCATACTGTAGGCTGGCGGTAGATTTCCCTTGCATCTTCCGTGTTTACATATCTACTTTCTAGTAATGCATCAATCAATTTGAAACTTCAAAATCTCCCCACTGGCATTTAACTATTGCTGTATGAACCTTGCCTGGGTGGAGAATTTGAACTGGTAGAATAAAGTTGTTTCAATTTTAGACCTGGAGAAGTTCAAAGGTAAAGAGACCACCATCTTGAGCCAATGACATAGAAGATGCTTGGAAGCAAAAAATCCAGCAGTAGCACTAAGAACTGATACATGACTACAGCATTTCTTGATCACACAAGGAACTGTTCAGTATAGAATTGTGCTTGAGTGGGGCATTTGTAAGCAATTTTGGCCCAAGGGTGGAAATTAAAACAAACCAATGTTAAAAAATTCAAATGCCTAGGGAGTTCCCTAGGAAAGGGGTGTTGCAGCATTGAATTTGTCAGTGGATAATTCACAGCTTCTTACATAGGGAGCTATGAAGCTTACATTTGCAAAGTGGTTGTGAAATAGGGGCTGAAAGTTTCTAATTAAAGAAACTGTGGTGCTGCGTTGGTGGGGGTAACAAGGTCATTTGGTTATATCAACTAAAGTTGAAACTGTAAATTGGCCACCATAACGAATAAGTTACGGTGGCCAATTTACAAATTATTTCAACTTAGTTGATATAACCAAATTACTTTGGTTGTGAAATAAATTGAGACCCAGCAGAGGAGAGTCAAAAGTGAGATTTAAATTTGTTTGTAGAAATTCAGTTGTGCTGAAGGGTCAGGAGATATCGGTGATTGACCCTATAACACCCGTGAAGATCACAATAACAATTCTCCCTGCTGTCTGTTCCACATTTCTTACTATGTTTTCTTGACAATGTATTGGTACTGTTAGGAGAAGCTACTTTTTGATCAGAACTGGAGGTGAGAGGGTTGAGCAGCACACTATGAATGTTTGAATGCTGCTAGTGTCTTGATTCAGAAAGTTGAAATTAAAATTATAAGGAGAAGACATCAAGAACTAATCATACTGGTAATCAAGAATTTTGTCACATTATAAATTAAATGAATAATGCTACCACTTTCTTTGTTTTTTTTTTTTTTTTTCTAGGAGAAAAGTGCAAAATTTGACAGGCCACATGTATGGGCAAGTGGCTCTTGTCTGAAATTAGATGTGTATACCCAGACAGATTCTTCATTTGTGTCAGACAACTACACAAAATCCCTGGTAAGAGATGACGTAGTTATGGATGAATTTTGATGTGTGTTACTGTTAAATGCAGAAACCATAAAAAAGGGGAAATGTTTTGTGATGGATATTTCATAGACAGTTGGTTTTCAATCATACCTAAGGGAGTTTTACCTTCAACTTCCAAGATGTAATAGTTAATTCTCCTCTC